CAGGAATGGGAGAGAGAAGTTTTATTTCACAATATAAAATGAGTTTCTCAGCACCTGGCATGAACACAGACTTTGTAACATAGTCGGCCAGTGAATCACCAAAAGGCATATTTTGAGTCAAAACTTAACCAAAATAAAATTCTGTGTAAGCGGAATACAGTTCTAGTATGGGGTCACTCACAGTTAGCTGTGTTCAGTGATAGGCGAAGTGAACTGTGTAACTTTAGCATATGAGTTTGTCAAGCACTTGCTGCCCTTATTGCAAAGGAGCATTGTGAGTTGGAATATCCTGGCAGAAAGTGAGAGCTGAGTTCAATATGCTCCCAACTTCATTGGCACTGGCATTTTTGTCTCCACTACCTCCTATTGCTGACTATTACAGACAGCAAACAGCTGCAAAGGATACTTCAGAAATTGTTTGAAAAATGTCTGGGTTCAATTGTTCACATGCTCAATGTCTGAGAAATGGTCAACAGTGACATTTTAAAAATTCCAGCACAGATCATTGGCAAAAATATCTAGGTAGCAACCTGCTGATAATATGCTAATATGCACTGTTAATATGCTACTTTATGCATTTCACTTATAGAGGTCTTACCAGGCTCTCTGGATCAGGTCCTTTTTCCTAGCACACTGTAGGATATTATATTTGACTGTATTGTAGGTGTTAAATGATACCTGGGTCTCATTTCCATCTTGGTCTGAAGACTCTACATTTGTCAGCTCAAAGAAGACACCGTATGAAGAGCAATTGCATCGTTGTGAGGATGAACGGTTTGAGGTGTGTCTGTTGTTCTGTTTAAAACTTTGCAACTCGGTCCCCTGCTTATGTAACCAAGAACTGTGAAACAATTTATAGTTAAGGCTATGATTGTCACAGAATCAGTGACTTCCAGAGACCTCTGTGACATTTTCTGCCCTATGACTGGAGTTGTCAACAGGCAACCCATAATTCCTAGCCACAGCTAGCAGCGGGCCTCCAGCAGCTCTTAACTGGTGGGAAGCAGGGAGGGACCCGCAAAACTCCCAGCTCCCATGGGTGGTGGGGGTACCCCAAAGCTCCTACCCACTACAAGTAGCAAATGGACTCCCACAGCCACCTGCCACTGTGAGTGCTAGACTCTTCTCCCTCTCCACTTTGTGTCAGATATTTTTAGTAAAAAAATCATAGACAAGTTACAGGCTTCCATGAATTTTTGTTTATTGTCCGCGATCTGATTTTTACTAAAAGTATCTGAGACAAAATCTGAGCCTTATTTATAGTCAATAGCTCTGCAAATCCATGGATATCCACTTTATAGCTGTGGATTATTTTTGTAAATCAGATACAGATTCAACTTTTCTATCTAAAGCCCTTGAAATTTATGGCTATCTACTTGATAACTGTGGATGAAGATAGCCACAGATCATTTTTGTGGCTCTGAGGTAGATACACACAATGTATTGAATCAGGGCTCTATTTATTAGAGTAAACTCTTCTTGCTGTGTGTCAGGGCTTTTTCCCACTCTAGTACTTTGAGTGCAGAAGATGGGGACCCGCAAAGAGCTCAAAAAAACCCCAAACAAACCTTTGCCTCTGTAGGCACTGGTTTCAAAAAATTTCACCCCCAGAATCACAATACACAGATTTTGGGGGATCGCTGCCACTATCAAGTGATTTTTATTCCTAAACATCAGGGGTGAACACTTGAACCCACTCTCCAGGTATACTCCAAGCTCTTTTGCCCTAAAAGAATGTAGAAAAAGGAAAGAGAAAAACAAGCTGCAGTCTCTAGTAGCTGATTTCCCAGTCTGAGGCAGACAGATCTCCTGTACCTTCCAGGACGCAAGGATCAAATCATCTCCTTTAAAAAAGTGATTTTTATTACAAAACAAAAGATAAACTTGATACAGCATACTTGGTTGCTTGGCGATAGAGCAACTAAGGAAAACAAATTAAAACACAGAAAAAAGTCTCTGGGCACGATGCTAGATGGTAAATGGGGAAAGGAGGCAAAGATTCACACAGAACAGTTCAAACCAAGCCACAAAATAAAGAAAAAAAATACCCTGAATGTGACTAGATTCACTTTTTCCCTTTACTTACTTCCAATCCTCTCTTTATTCAGTCCACTTCCATGTCCCGAATTCCTTGGAGGCATGGTAGTCCTGCCTGGGTTTAAAAGATTCTGTGTGTCTCTACTCCTGGTTTAACTCCCCCCGCCCCCACACACAGACACACAGACACACAGACACAGACACAGACACACACAGAAAGCAGGTAAGGACATGACAGAATCTTATACAGTTCAGATTTAATCCCTCTATCTCGATTGGTTCTTCCGGCCCCGGCCAACACTTTTGCTACCTGAGTTGAACCCCTTAGTCGCCGGGTGCTGGTCAGCATTCCTCCTGTCCGTTACCCTCTCTTTTCTCCTTTAATTGTGGGCTTGCTTTCCTGAGGCTATGTTTTTCCAAAATATCCCTCTCACTCCTTTTCCCCAGGAATGGTGATTACTTTGTGCTTCTCCAACCTGGGGGAAGATGTACAAACAGAATAATGCCACTGGGTGCATCAGGGGAGAGAAATGTTTGAAGAGCTTTATTTACCCCTCATTTTCATGCAGGTAGCTTGATGTCTATTGTGTCATAGAACCCTGCTTTGCCAAGGACCAGTGAAATACAAAATAGGCTTGGGAAATCTGGATGCCAGTTCTACCACTGAGAGTACTGGCAAAGTGCTCCACCTAGTGAGAATCCTCACTGTGGCCCCTGACCCCCAGCCAGTGGACACTGACATACAAGTACGAATCTGAGCATAGGAAAACTTTCTTACATTTTATTGTTTGTGAATTCTAACAGTTGGATGTTGTCTTGGAAACCAATCTGGCCACAATACGCGTGTTGGAGAGTGTTCAAAAAAAGCTGTCTCGGATGTCTCAAGAGGATCAGGAGAAATTCCGATTGGATGATTGTTTGGGAGGAACGTCGGAAGTGATCCAGCGCAGAGCCATCTACCGTATCTATGGTGATAAAGCACCAGAAATTATTGAAAGTCTTAAGAAAAATCCGGTTACTGCAGTCCCTGTAGTTTTAAAAAGGTAACTCATCTATAATTTCTATGTAATTAACCAATATAGTCTTCGAAAGCTTGTTTCTGAAGTTACTTATTTTCATTTCTTAGGACTCTAATGCAGAACAGTGGAGAGCAATTAATGTAATATCTTTAAAAAATCACTTCCGTTAAAGGTCACAAAGGTATTAACTGACTCTTAGCCCAATTTGAGAAGAATTTAAACGAAACAAATTATGACAATGTGCTGTTCTTGTATTAACAGTATGTATGTTTCAGTAGAAAATAAGACACTGTGAGCTTTGTGGTTGATGTGTAATATGGGGATAACTGTAACATAATTGTGGCTTCTCCCGCCATGGAAATTATTACATTTTTTACATTTATTTTATAAATAAACCAAGCTATTTCTTTGGTTCTTTGGGGTTTTACCATTTTTTGGTTTCAGTGTGGATTCCTTGTCAAATAGCTTTCTGTATTAATGTAGACCTCTAAAAATACATTTTAAAATTAAAGACTGTATCTGCAAAAACAAGGAATCTGTTGCATCTTAAAAATTAATGTATTTATTTGTGCATAGGCTTTCATGAGTAAAAAAACACATGCAACCGATGAAGTGTTTTTTACCTACAAAACTTATGTCCAAATAAATCCATCAGTCTTTAAGATGTCACAGAACTCCTCATTGTTTTGAAAATTAAACTTTTTTTTTCAAGTTTTCCCTTTGTAGGAGGCATTATTTAGCCAGTGTTCATAATTAATTGAAAAGCTAATTGGGTAAAAAGTTTCAGATGCTTTTGGTATGAACACATCTATGCTTTTTAATTTAGTCTAATAGTTTCTATACGATATCATTTCTAGTGCATGACAATCAATTGTTTCACACCATTTCCAACATAGGCATGCGCAGGGGGTGTGCCCAGGCACACCCTTATGTCTCAAAAACAAATGTGGCTTTGCGTTTTGTTTTAATTGCATGATACGCTCTTAAGTTTAGTTGTTAATTTAAAAAAAATTAAGTTTAGTTAAGTTTTAGTTTCTTTTGTTTGTTTGAATAAAAATAATGTTCTTTATGATTAAGTATTCAATAAATTTTCGCCTTTTAAAAAAAAAATTCCCTGGGTGCACACCTTAATGAAGTGTGCTGCGCATGCCTATGATCCCCAACCTTGTAAATTCTTTGCGCTTGCACTTTATTGCTGTGTAATGGAGCCATGATAGGGACTCCCATCGGTATGGTTATGTTCATCCCAAGCTTACTGAGAAAAGCTCCTTTCTGCATTAAAACATCTCTTTCATCTCATTTAGAGGAAGCGAGGATTTTTTTTTGAAAATATGAGATTAATTGGACATGCCATTTCAAATGAGACTTTGAAATAGGAGGGGGAGAGGAAGATCTCTTTTTAAAAAAAAAGTCTATTTTTTGGTCCAATCATAACTGAAAAACAGATTCATGGTTTAATCCTCGCGGAGAACCAGCACATGAGTTAACCAAGTTGTATTCCAAATAAGGATGTTAAAATGTGGTTAATTGACTAGGTGATAGGCACTTCCACATTGCTCCTTTGAAATGTACAAGAGTCCCTGCTGGGGCTCTTGTACATGTCAAAGGAGGAATGTGGAACTCCGCATACAGCCGGAGGCCAGTGGGAAGTCCTGCTGCCTCAGGGCTGCACGCGGGTGCCTTCTTTGAAATTCACCAGAGTCCCCAGCAGGGGCTCTTGTGCATTTCAAAGCTATGGAGCCCGGGATCAGCAAGGGACTCTGAGTCCCCCACTGACTCTGGGCTCCATGGTACAGGATCTTCTGGATTCTGGGGAAATGCCGCTGGAGCCCGGGAGCTCCCCGTGGTATTTCCCAGGAACCCGGGGTCAGCTGGGAACTCTGGGCTGTAGGAGGAGTTCCGCATTCCTCCTTTGAAATGTACAAGTGCCTGTTGACTAGTCAACAAACTATCCGATAAGCAAATGATTATCAGATAGTTGATTAGTCTTTAACATCCTTAATTCCAAAGGTGTGGTGGTGCAACAGAGGATCTCTGCATGTGGTACAGCAGTGTTACACCCTATACCATTACATAACCAGTGCCATGTCATCTAAACTTGCATTTTTAACAGAAGGTTTTTCTTCCCATTTCTCTCCTAAAAGCCTCCACATGCTAGGTTTCAGCAACCTGTAGTGTTTTCCCTTTCAAATGATAATTAAAATTAAGCCATCAGCATGTATTTTAAAAAGAAGAAAAAAATCAGTCCTACCCTCCAGTTATTCTCTTCCTGGTGCCTGACCTCTTTTCTTTTCTCATCCCTAATTGCTAAGTCTCCTGCTCTGAATCTTGGCTTCTGGCAGCCAGCAGCTTGGGACAGCCACCATCTGTAGCATCTTTATGCACCACTTTCTAGACCCTGCCGTGTCTCAACTTTTTTAATGTCCATGAGGAAAATTTAGCTCTGCCCCTCATTTCTGAGCTAGTTCCACTTCCCAGCATTTCTAGCTGGTCAGATAGAATCTTTGTATGTAAGATGGAAATGGTTGGGTCCCAGGAGATCTCCACCTAAGAAAAGTGTACCGGGAAAAGGATGGTAGCGGTAGGGTAGGAGTGGGGAACCCAAGGCCTGGGGGTCGGATGTGGCCCCAGATTGCCTGTATCCGGCCCCCAATGCTCAGGGTTACCCCCCAGCATTGGGGAGCCTGTGTTGGTGCTCCAGCCCCACCACTATCCTCCCACAGGGCTGGAGCATTCAAAAGTCTACTAACCTGGGTCCTCTCAGGCTCTAGTGTATGAGGGGAATGTGAAGAATGTCTTTCCCCTTCTCAGTCAGGGGCTGCTTCAGTGAGGGATTATTTGGTGTGTGTGTGTGTGGGGGGGGGGGGGGTGTTTAATTTGTTTGCGTCTCCCTTGTGTGTGGCCCCTGACTGATTTTTCTATGGGTCAGTGGACCCCAACCCCAAAAAGGTTCCCCACCCTGCCGTAAGGTGTTGACATTTCTACTGTGGATTGCTTGAGTTCCTGGCACTGAATATGTTTTTTCAACTGCAATATTGTATTTTCCCCGGCATAATATTTACCAGATTTCAAAGGGTCTATTCTGTATTGTGTAGGTTGAAAGCAAAAGAGGAGGAATGGCGGGAAGCCCAACAGGGTTTCAATAAGATCTGGCGGGAGCAGTATGAGAAGGCGTATTTAAAGTCACTGGACCATCAGGCCGTCAACTTCAAACAAAATGACACCAAAGCCCTGCGCTCCAAGAGCTTGCTGAATGAGATTGAGAGTGTCTATGATGAGGTATATATATTAGCGAACAATCAACTCTGTCTTTTAAAAATGTTGTGTTATGGTAATGCCCAGAATTTCAGATCAGTATTGGGTCCCCATTGTGATGAGCTCTGTACAAACACAGAGGAAGACATCATCCCTATCCCGAAGAGCTCATAATTTATAATGACAAGAGTGAGTGAGAAGAAGTCTTGAAAATTATTTATAATGTGTAGATAAGAATGTAAGAGAAATAGCATATGTAATAACATAAATATCTCCTTTCCTTGCCTGCCCTCCAGTCTAGCCATCAACACGTGGCTAATTCTTTGTGTGTGTTGTGGCAGGAATGGCTCTTGAGAATGGGTTGGAAGGATCTTACTTGTTCGTCTCTTGGTTGCAGCATCAGGAACAGCATTCGGAGGGGGGAAGTGCCACCGCAAATGAGCCTCACCTTATCTTCATCTATGAGGATAAACAGATTCTGGAAGATGCAGCTTCACTCATTAGCTACTATGTGAAACGACAGCCCACTATCCAGAAGGAAGATCAGGCAACTATCCGGCAAATAGTGCATCATTTCGTACCCGAGCTGTTTTTTTCTCAGCTCCCTGACCACAGTATTTCTGAAGAGTCAACTGATGAGGATAGAGAAAACCATCAGGGACAGAACCTGGACACTCCTGATCTACGAAAGAAACGTGTGCCTGGGCCTCCAAGCGCCTCTCTGGAGGAGAAGCCTGGCTTCTGTGATGCCACTGCTGCTGAGCTTCACAAAACTCTTGATGATGTTTACAGTCTGTTCTTTGCCAATAATAACTGGTATTTCTTCCTCCGTCTTCACCAGACTCTCTGTTCAAGGCTCTTAAAGATTTATCGTCAGGCTCAGAAGCAGCTTATAGAGTATCGGACTGAAAAGGAGAGAGAGAAACTCCTCTGTGAGGGAAAGAAAGAAAAGTCCAATGATCCAGCCATGGAACTGAGATTGAAACAACCAAGTAAGAATATTTTGTAGTTTGGAAACTATTTTTCTGTTAGCATTGTGAGTGCCTTATGCAGAGGACACTTGCATCTCAGTGATTGGGACCAGCTGGCACAAATATATGAGATACAGAAATCTTTCCAGTGTCTGAGAATTATAGATTCATAACTAATGTTACCTGCATCTATTGAACTGGGACAGTTAGGGGATAACTTACATGCCAAAGAACACCTCTTTGTTAATTTAGAGCTCTAAAAGTCCATTAGCTGCTATACAATATATGCCTTTCTATATAAGTATTTCTAGACCATGGGAAAATACAGTTATGAAGTGTCTTGGAGTATGTTGCTTAAATTTAAAATACATATGCATGCAGGAGAGTTGAGTCTGTCACTGGGGCAATGCCTATTTCAGACAATCACACTGTTCTCATGGGCTCTTATGGGTTCTGTCAGTGGCACCTGGAAAGATGTGGTTGGTGCAGCAGTTGAAGAGTTTTGCTTGTGTCTAAAAATATTCTGTGTGTCAAATGTCGTAGATCTAAGAAAGTTATCTCTTCTGTTCCCTGCCCCAGGGGCACATTCTGTCTCTTCTGTGCAGTAAGTGACTGCTGTTTTCTCCTGCCCAGGTGAGGTGGAGTTGGAGGAATACTACCCAGCATTTTTGGATATGGTGAGAAGTTTGCTGGATGGGAACATTGACCCCACACAGTACGAGGACACTTTGAGAGAGATGTTCACTATCCATGCCTACATTGGCTTCACCATGGACAAGCTGGTGCAGAATATTGTCCGCCAGGTAATCATCCCTCAGGTTGTTTCTACAGTGCAGTTTGTGGACACATCCTTGTCTATTGATAAACTGGTCTGTTAGTGTGTATGAGAGAGCTAGTAAAGATTAGAGTAAAGGTTGATCTTAGAGCAGGGTGGGCAGTCATTTTTGATGGGGGGGACACACCAAGATTTTGATAAGTGGTCAAGGGCCTCACTCTTTCACTATATTAATGGAGATGGTGTGTGGTCTCTGGTGGAGGTTGGGTGGAGAAGAGAGATTGGGATAAGGGATTGGGGTGCAAGAGGGTGTTTGGATGAAGGAGGAGGTTGTGACCTAGGGTAGGACTGGAGTGCAGAAGGAGGTGCAGGGTCCAGGAGGAGGCATGGGTACAGGAGAGTATTCTGACCCCAGCAGACTGGGGTGAAGGGCCTGGGAGGGTGTAGGGAGGCAGATGGTTAGAAGGAGGGAGGGACTGGGGTACTAGAGTCAGGCTTTGTCTGGGAGACATGTACCTGGATGGCTCCCAGCCAACATCCCAGCAGGTTCCTCAGCCAGGGTCCCTGCCTTCTACACCCCTGCACTGGCTGTGGAGCTCTGAACACTGTGAGCCTGGAGTGGCAGGAATACTTTGCACTCTGTCCTGCAAACAGGCATCTTGAGCTGTGAGATTGTGCTGAGAGCAGGGGCAGCACCCGAGGCACACAGCACACAGCATTCAGAGAGCTGCTCTTAGCAGTATGTGGGGATGGGACAGGCAGGGAGCCTGGCTGAAATCCTGCAGGCCGGATCTCGTGGCTCGGTGGATCGTATTTTGCCCACCCCGCCTTAGTGACACTTAGAATATATCTCTTGGCAAGACAGGCACACAGCTCTCTGTTTTAAAAACCCCGCAAATTGCAGTTTGAAATAATTGGCATTTGAAAATCTAGTCATGTAGACTTGCAGCTTCTGTAAGCCTCAGTATTCCCTCTTTGGCTAATATAGTACAGTCAGGATTACAGTGTGTCCTGCAAACATAAGAAGCCAAGATTTCTTCTGAGGTGTTTACTCAGTTGTTAGTAGGTGATGGAAAAAAGGCAGAAGAAATAGTCAAAGGAAACAGCTTGCTAAAAACAGGAGAAAAAAGCAGTTTGTGAACTGAAATTCCTGTGGCCAGCCAACTTACAATTACATATGGCATAGATTTCTCTGTTGGTGATACTTGACTGTCCCTACCAGAGCCATTGGGAAGCTTTGATTAGGAGTTGAGTTAGAACAGTGTTTCTCAAAGAGGTCCATGGACCCTTGCTCAGAGACCTGCTACTGAGGCGCTCCAATTTGTTTGTTTACCAGCTCTGCAGCCATGGAGCCTCGCAGCTCCCCTGGGCTGCGGTTTGCCATTTGCAGCCAAGGGGAACTGTGGGAAGCGGCGTGACCTGGGCCACAGCTCCCCATGGCTCCCTTTGGCTACAAACGACAAACTATAGCCAATGGGAGCTGCGAGGCTCCATGGTTGTGGAGCCAATAAGTAAACAAACGGGAGTGGCCCGGTAGCAGCTTTCTCAGAGTGGGTGTGATGACCAGTTTGAGAAACACATAAGAGGGTTCACACTTACCATATTAACCAGCTCTCTGTTACCTGTTTAGTAATGAGATGTTTAAAGAAATGCTTTAAGACTTGACTGCCCTTTGCTCCTTCTGTTACATTCATTGCAAAATGAGAAAAAAAAGTTGCTAACCCCCTTTTTCTCTTGATAATAGCTTCACCATCTTGTGAGTGATGATATCTGCCTGAAGGTTGTGGAGCTCTACTTGAGTGAGAGAAAACATGGCGCTGCTGGAGGCAACCTGTCCTCCCGATGTGTCCGGGCAGCCAAGGAGACCAGCTATCAGTGGAAGGCTGAACGCTGCATGGCAGATGAGAATTGCTTCAAGGTGAGAGTTTGCTTAATGGGAATTACCTGACACCGAATGGAGTGGTGCAGGTGGCAGCAGGCTGATGCTCTCCAGATATCCTCACTCCTAAGAAATGAGCCGAATCCTGTTACTTAGTGCCAGGGGAGTTACATTTATCTCTTGGCTCAGACAGTATCTTTGTAATTCCTAGCCACAGAGTCTGTGACCCAAGCGTCTGTCAGAGAGTTTGCTCGTATTAGACACACGGGAAGCCTTTCAGTGAAGGAACTATCTGAATAGTAACATCTTAAAGGCAAGTAGCACAAATAAGACACAGCCCTTTCCTGACAGGGCAGCAGGCGAGGAGAGCTGAAAGGACAGGCAGCATGAATGCTAGCTGCACTTAGACCTAGGCGTGTCTAGAAGTGTGTGCTGAGTGTCAGTGGCAGGATTAGAGTTGGAAGTCTTTGTGGACAGTGAATTTCAAGAAAGGTTTTAAATGAGGATGTTAGAGATCGTTAATGTAATAATTGTATAAGTACACCAAATCTTAGCAGTTACACGATTATTCAATGGGCCTTGGGGTGGGCAGCCAGTGCGCTCCTGGCCCCACTCCCAGGGACCGCTCTGCGCTACTGCCTGTGTATCAGAGGCAGCAGTGTGGGGTGGCAGGCGGAAACTGTTTTTTATACAGAGACAGCAAGGGGGAGAGCGGGGGGATAAATCATATGGTTTATTGGTTTATCAATTAAAGGACTGTACACTAACATCCCTAATTTAAATGTGGACAGATGGAGTCTTTCTGCAGAGGGCCAAGCAGGCTGGTTCAGAGAGGGCTGGAGAAGCAGAGGGAGGATAATGGAGCACCTGTCTGTCTTGGAGGGCGATGAGTCAGGAAGAAACTGGAAGGAAGGATGGAGCTTTGTTCTGATGTATTGAGTTTGAGGAGTTACTGAGCCAAGAGGTGGATGGGGCAGGTAGAGTAGCAGACTTCAGAAAAGGAGGAAATCCCCAGAATGAGCTTGAGAGATGAAGGGACATCTGTATAATGATGGTATTGAAAGCCATTATATCTCCAAGACACAGGGGGGTGGATAAAAGGAGAAAGTGGAAGCAAGAATTGAGCCTAAGTTTCTGTGTGGCCAGCCATCAGGGTAACATGTTGTATATTCACTTCCAATCTGTCATGTTCAGCTGGATTTCTGTGAAAATTCAGCAGGCTGATCTGGGCTCCTGCTAGCTCTGGAGGTGCCAGGTGATTTTCCCCGTTTCTCACTTCATTACAGGTTATGTTTCTTCAAAGGAAAGGGCAGGTGATAATGACCATTGAGCTACTAGACACAGAAGAAACCCAAACAGAAGATCCTGTGGAGGTTCAGGTAATTAAGATGCAAGGGATACCTCTGTGGCACTGGCAAGGGAGGCTGTCAGGTATGGCTTTCCTAGGAAAATGACTATATTTGGGGTAGAACATGTGGTGGACTGTGTGTCATTCATAGAGGCTGCTGATACAGAACTGGATTTAAATGCAAATTGTCTTGGGGTGGTTGGGTTAGGTATAGGCAGCTTTAAAAGCAGCCTGGATATATGCTTTTAGGGCAACTAAGTGTATTCTGACTGGGGAGATATGACTTGGACGTGGTCTTTCTTGTGTAGCACTTGGCTAACTACATGGAACAGTACGTTGGGGTGGAGGGCGTCCCAAACAACCAGAATGATGGCTTCTTACTGAAACCGGTTTTTCTGCAAAGGTGAGCTCTCCCCCGGGGTCTTGCCCGCAACAGCTGGCTCTGCTGTTACCCTCTGTATTGAGGTTATTTTGGTTCTATTCCTGGCCTGCATGGAAGAGTCCCTTATAATTGTATTCCTCTTGCACCTTCCGTCCTTAACACTTCCAAACTAATATACTGTATACACTGTTCCAGGCAAATACAGGCACCTCTGGACTGCACCCCGCACAAGGGCAGTACGGGCAGCATTCCGGTTTTCACAGAATACAGTGTGTGCAATAAAAGAGAGTAGTACTATCTTCTAAGCAATCCCTCTTTTAGGGGGAATTTAAGGCCTAATCCTTCTGTGCTTCATCACGAAACTGTGCCAAGCTTGGGGGTAGGGAGATGGTGTGGAAGCAAAGTTCCTGAGAAGAGCCAGTCATAGAAATGTGAAGTTCATGCTGTGACCTTTTGTGACTAGGAGTGTGGAAGTTGAGTGGACAGGGATTTAAAATTATTTCATAATACTTGTTTTTGTTCTAGGAACCTTAAAAAATTCCGCAAGTGGCAATGCAAGCAAGTGAGAGCTCTGCGGAGTGAAGTCAAGAGCTCCTGGAAGAGACTGATTGGTGTGGAAAGTGCATGCAACATGGACTGCAGATTCAAGCTTAACACCCACAAAATGATGTTCATCATGAACTCTGAGGATTAGAGCCAAGCAGGTGCATGTCCTGTTTTTCTCTCTACAGCTCAGGCACTGGTAGAGATGGGGAACTTGAGCTACGAGAACTGCAGTGACAGGAGTCTTGTGAACATAAGAACAGCCAGGCTGAGTCAGACCAAAAGTCTATCTAGCCCAGTATCCTGTCTTCCGACAGTGGCCAATACCAGATGTCCCAGAGGGAGTGAACAGAACAGACAATCTTCAAGCAATCCCTCTCCCGTCATCCTTTCCCAGCCTCTGACAGAGACTAGTGACATCATTGCTACGCTTCCTGGCTAATAGCTATTGATGGACCTAACCTCCATGAATTCATCTAGTTCAGGATTTCCCAGCCTATGGGTCGGGACCCAAATATGGGTCACCATTACATTTCAAAAGGGTCGCTAGGTGTCTCCCCAGGTGGCTCTTAAGGAGCCATTCACACATTTTTTGAATTGCCCTTGGTCACCTAGTCACCAAGTTTGAATTTTCAAAATGGGTCTCCATCTGGAAAAGGTTGGGAGCCACTGATCTAGTTCTTTGTTGAACCCTGTTCAAGTCCTGGTCTTCACAACCTCCTCTGACAAGGAGTTCCATGAGTTGACTGTGCTTTGTGTGAAGAAAAACTTCCTTTTGTTTATTTTCAGCCTATTACCTATTAATTTCATTTGGTGACCCCTAGTTCTTATGGGAACAAGTAAATAACTTTTCTTTATTCACTTTTTCCACACCAGTCATGATTTCATAGCCCTCTATCATATCCCCCTTTTCTAAGCTGAAAAGTCAGTCTTTTCTTCATATGGGACCCGTTCCAAACCCCTAATCATTTTCTTTCCCTTTTCTGAACCTTTTCCAATGCCAATATATCTTTTTTGCGATGAGGTGACCACATCTATACACAGTAATCAAGATGTGGGTGTACCATGGTTTTATATAGAGGCAATAAGATATTCTCTATCTTATTTTCTATCCCTTTTTTAATGATTCCTAACATTGTGTTTGCTTTTTTGACTGCTGCTGCACATTGAGTGGATGTTTTCAGAGAATTATCTACAATGACTCCAAGATTTCTCTCTTGACTAGCTAAATTAGCCCTGGATGTATAGTTGGGATTGGTTTTTTTTTCTATGTGCATTACTTTACATTTATGAAAATTAAATTTAGTTTTCCATTTTGTTACCCAGTCACTTAGTTTTGTGAGATCTTTTTGAAGCTCTTCACAGTCTGCTTTTGTCTGTCTATCTTGAGCAGTTTATTATCATCTGCAGATTTTGCCACCTCACTGTTTACCCCTTTCTCCAAATCCTTTATAAATAGGTTGAATAGGATTGATCCCAGTACGGACCCGTGGGGTGGTCCTCTCTCCATTCTGAAAACTTACCATTTATTCCTACTCTTTGTTTCCTGACTTTTAACCACTTATCAGTCCATGAGAGGACCTTCCCTCTTATCCCATGACAACTTACTTTACTTAACAGCCTTTGGTGAGGGACCTTGTCAAAGGCTTTCTGGAAATCTAAATACACTATATCTACTGGATCCCTCTTGTCCACGTGTTTGTTGACCCCTTCAAAGAACTCTAGTAGATTAGTAAGGCATGATTTCCCTTTACAGAAAATGTTGACTTTTCCCCAGCAAATTATGTTCATCTGTGTGTCTGAAAATTTTATTCTTTACTATAGTTTCAACTAATTTGCCCAGTTCTGATGTTGGACTTACTGATCTGTAATTGCCAGGATCACCTTTAGAGCCCTTTTTAAATATTGGTGTTACATTAGCTATCTTCCAGTCATTGGGTTTAGAAGCTGATTTAAAGGATAGGTTACAAACCACAGTTAATAGTTCTGCAGTTTCCCATTTGAGTTCTTTCAGAACTCTTGGGTGAATGCCGTCTGGTCCTGGTGACTTGTTACTGTTAAATTTATCAGTTTGTCCCAAAACCACCTTTAATGACACCACAGACTGGGACAATTCCTCAGATTTGTCACCTAATAAGAATGACTCAGGTTTGGGAATCTCCCTAACATCCTTAGCCATGAAGACCAAAGCAAATAATTAATTTCATTTCTACACAATAACTTTATCGTCTTTGCGCACTCCTTTGGTGTCTTGATCGTCCGGGGCCCCACTGGTTGTTTAGCCGGCTTCTTGCTTCTGATGTACTTAAACATTTTGCTATTACTTTTTGGTTTTTGGGTAGTTGTTTTTCAAACTCCTATTTGGCTTTTCTTATTATATTTTTACACTTAATTTGATAGAGTTTATGTTCCTTTCTATTTTTCTCACTAGGATTTAACTTCCACTTTTTAAATGATGCCTTTTTATCTCTCACTGCTCCTTTTATTTGGTTGTAAAGCCATGATAGCACTTTTTTGATTCTCTTAGTGTTTTTACATTTGGGGTATACATATAAGTTGGAGCTCCTCTATTATGGTGTCTTTAAAAAGTTTCCTTTCAGCTTGCAGGGATTTTACTTTTGGCATTGTACCTCTTAATTTCTATTCGGCTAACCTCCTCATTTTTGTGTAGTTCCCCTTTCTGAAATTAAATGCCACAGTGTTGGACTGCTGAGGTGTTTTTCCCACCACAGGGATGTTAGATTTTATCACATTATGGTCACTATTTCCAATATTTACCCCTTGGACCAGATCCTGTGCTCCACTTAGGACTAAATCAAGAATTGCCTCTCCCCTTGTGGGTGCCAGAACCAGATGCCCCAAGAAGCATTCATTTAAGGTATCAAGAAATTTTACCTCTGCACCCTGTCCTGAGGCGATGTGTACCCAGTAAATATGGGGATAGTTGAAATGTCCCACTGTTATTGAGTTATTTTTATTTTGATAGCCTATCTAATCTCCCTTAGCATTTCATAGTCACTGTCCTGATCAGGTGGTCGATAATATATCCCTACTACTATATTCTTATTATTAGAGCATGGAATTACTACCCATGGAGAGTCTATGGAACATTTTGATTAATTTAAGATTTTTACTTAATTTGATTTTTCTTTCATGTATAATGCCACTCCCCCAACTAGCACCTTGTCTTCTGATGTATTTTTACCCTGGTACAGCTGTGTCCCATTGATTGTCCTCATTCCACTAAGTTTCTGTGATGCCTGTTATATCAATATCCTCCTTTTGTGGCTGTATTCCTACAGGCTGCTCTCTAGAGTCACATCTCCCCAGTGATTGAAATAGCAGAGGAACTGGTAAATGCTGCAGACTGTAGTTTACAGGCCATAGCTCTGTCTCCCAGGTGACACTAGAAGATAGTTCCATGGCAGGTACAAGAGATATGTGCTCCTCTGATTGATTGTTTTAAAGCATAAATGTCTCAGGGCTTGTCTTAACTACACAGTGGATCCATGCTGCAGCAATTGATCCATTGGTGGTTGATTTATTGTGTCTGCTTAGACATGATAAATCAACTTCCAAGCGCTCTCCTGGAGACTGCAGTACTCCATCAGGACGAGAAGAGTAGCCGAATCGACAGGAAAGCAGCCCCGCCAACCTTACCACATAGAAGACACAATAGTAAGGATGACAACTTCAACTATGCTGTTCATGAACTTGAAGTTGTTTGGGGGGGGGGGGGAAAGGAGGGAGTACTATAGTGTAGACTAGGCCTCAATGTCCAAAGAGCCGAAAACTTTTCCCCTATGAGTCTTTTAGTAACCTTTACTGTCCTTGTCTCAGGTGCAGCCCATGGTTCTGCTCAAACACCACCAACAGTTTGAAGAGTGGCACAGCAGGTGGCTCGAAGAGCATGTTACTGTAGAGGCAACAGAACTGGTTCAAGACTGGCTAATGGGTGATGAGGACGAGGACATGGTCCCATGCAAAACAACTTGTGAGACAATGAATGTGCATGGAGTCCCTGTGAATAGATACAGAGTTCAATACAGTCGCCATCCAGCCTCACCATGAGGAGAGACTCAGCCATGTGACCATGCCAAGCAGGAGCTTTGCCGGCAAAACACTTTTACTCTGAGAATAGCGGTGGAATGCTATGTATGTATTAATGATATTTATCCAAACAGCATTTTAATTTGGGTTATGATGTATTTTCCATATGGCATAGAATTGTCTCCTAGCGGTGTGATCCTCCAGGCTGTGTCGTCATGCAGAGTTCTAAAGCCATTCCTGAAAGAGAGCTCTTAGCATTGCCACTTTGTACAGTCACTTTGTAGCTTCAGGCCTACCACAAGCAAGCTGGTGTGGGAAGGGCTGAGTAAGGTGAGGTGACTACGTGGGAGACGCTGAGTGCACAGCTCTAGAAGAGCTGTTAATGACTGCTGCATTAAAGGGACAGAGTAGCTGGGGTGGCTGAGTGAGCTGTGTGCTCTACCCAGTATAGAGCATGATGGGTGCTAGAGCTGGCACTGGCAGCTGCTTCTTCTTTTGGAAGTGTTTAATGTTTCATGTCCCTGTGCATTTCATGCCATGCCTCAGTCTGTAGAACTTCTTATAACCCCTCAGTGCCGGTGGGCCCAGAGCACCTGGCTTTGCCATGGGCTGCGGGTTATCAGTTGCATTATCTGTTCGAACTAATGAAGCTATGAATGCCGTGAGCATTACTGCTGCTATGGTGGGGAAATGTCAAATCCTGAGACATCAGGGAGGGAAGTGAGACCTTTGAATTTTAAAGCGGCTAGGTTGGGCAAAGGTTTCAGAGCAGGTGCTCATCAGAAATGGCTCCATAGGCTGCAGTGCTGAGTCCAGACACATCCTCTACCTTTGCAGAGAATTCTGTATTTGGCTTCCCTGTCAATCTTTATAAAACTGTCACCCTGCAATATCCTGCTTTCTCATGTCAGGCGCTGCTTGAAGTTGGAATAAAATCCACGAGGGGTTTTGTTTGTTTTGTGTGCTGATTGACAGCCCCTGGAACTGTGTTTTGCAGACACTTCGTTTTCACTGGGTGCATCCAGGATCCCTCGGTACTTCAGGAATAGTCACACTTACAAAGAGGATCAGTAGATGGAGCTCTTAAAGCATGTTTGTTTTGCCTTGGAGAACTTCCTAGATACTGGTGTCTTGCTGGTACCTCTACAAGACGCTCTTTTACAGTGACACACTGAAGTATGTATTCAGGGGAGGATTCTGTCCAGGTGTAAGTGTAAACAAGCTATTCCACTGGCACTTTCTATGCCTCGCCCTGAATTCTGCGCCCCCCCAACACAAAAACCCATCCACGAACCTCTGAACCATACAGAACTCTACATTCATCTTCTGACTTAAACCTATCAAGAGGACTAGTAAGTTCAGAGTCAGGGCAGCCCTGCAAGCCCATCGTGATTTGATTTCACTTGTGTGTTGCAGGAACCTGGAATAGCACATAATCTTGTGTAAAATAGATTTGCCTCATGACACCATGTAACTTCCTTTCAATCCTGACGCAAGGTGTCCTGACCTTTGTTTCTGTGATTATATATAGGGATGTAAGTCAACACACTAGTTGACTAGTCGCTTCCCCCCACCTTGCTACCTCATCAGAAAGAGGCGGGGGGAGGGGAGAGCGGATGCGGGGGGAGCCAACTTAAAAGCTGGTTCCCTCCAGCTCCGTGGAAGGGACGGGGAGCAGCGGTGGCATTCCACCTCTGAAATGTACAAGAATCTCTGCTGAGGCTCTTTTGGATTTCCAAGCGGAAGAACCCGCATGGAGCCTGCGGCCAGTGGGGGACTTTGAACCCCAGCAGAGGGCTCTTGTGCATTTCAAAGCTTGAAATGTCGCATGGAGCCCAGGGCCAGCGGGCAGTCCCCTGCTGACTCTGGGCTCCATGCAGCGTGTACGCTTTGAAATACACTGGGGCTCTTGTACGTTTCAAAGCGGAAGCGCCCACATGGAGCTGGGGTCAGGGGAGAACTCCTTGCTGGCCCCTGGCTCCACGTGCGTTTTAATCTTTGAAGAGCCCCTGCTGGGGGCCATACGTTTCTGAGGCGGAACTCCGCGTGGCACTTCTTCTTCATTTTGAAGAGGAAGTGCCCTTATTGACTAATCGAATAGTCGACGGAAATTCCATCGACTATTCAGTTAGTTGATTAATCTAATTTTAACATCCCTAGTTATAAAATATGGTTATAATTTCTGCTGGATCCAAGTAGCAGCCTGTGGGAGTTGTGCTGTTTACCCCACTGATCCACTTGTCTCTCACAACAGAAGAAATGGGTTATTTTGCACAATTGACCAAAACTGCCAGTTGTTTCTTTTTTGAAAGATAATCTGCGAGTGGGAGGCAGCAAGATTGATATTTTGGCTTTTGTGGCCACATGCACATCCATTGCCAGCGGTTTGCTTTCTTCCACGAACCCAAATTCTCATTGTCTACTGATTCCAGTGGCTGAAATATGAAGGAGATTTTTTCAAAGCCCTTGGCTTGTTTTGGGTAAGGGATGGAACTCTATAAGAAGCTGGGGTAGGTCTGACTAGTGCAATGCCTCTTTTGTCTCCACACAGCCTCAAATGCACCTCAGTCCTATTCAGCTCTCTGCTGTCTCCCAGGAGAGATGACCAACTGTGCCAAATTTTGTTATGGTTTTGTGATAGACAAATGTTTACTAGAAAGTAGGTTGCAACTTGTGGCTTAAAATGCAATTGATTCCAAGCCTCCCAGGGTGCATAAGGCTAATACACGCATGGACCCTGGTCAGTCTCCCTGACATTTTTAAGTGTACTTCAGGTATTTTTAAGCATCCTTATTTTGTAAACCTTAATTTATAATCTGAATGGATTGAGACTTTCATCCTTTACAGCACTATTATCTCAAATGTGATAGTAGCAAATGATGTGAATGAAATAAGTGGGTGGTGCCAATGTGTTTGAGAGAGGCCTGTTAACATTTGAGATTTCAGCCTTTGAATGCTGTGTATCTTCTAGCATGAAATTGATTGAAGAAAGTTTGCTCTTCCATTTTTTGAAGGATATTTGCTTTGGGGCTTGTAATTGCTTTGCCAGCTCTTTGAATGTAGGTTTTTTTAAATATTTATTTGCACATTCAAGTAAAATAAAATATTGATTTTCAAAGTCAGCAGCTCTCACTGAGTTCTCTATTTGAAGTGAATTTAGAGTTGGGGACAGCCTTGAAGACTCATTTGTAACTATAGAATAGCCTGATGATAGACTGTAGAGGTAGGTACAGGACAGCGAGTGCCACTTTGTGATCTAGACATCTGTTTGCCATCACCTGCACAGTTCACTTCATAGGGGCCAACAGACAGTCCTTAGAGGAAATAACAAGGCCATTAGCATCTTGAATGGGTTTTGAGTGATGGAGTAGCAATGACAGCCTCTAGTCTGTTACTAGTACCAACAGTTCCCCTTATTGGATCTCCAGAAAAGGAATCTTTTAATATCTGACTAGCTCTGGTGTGTAGTGGCTGGTGCCTTCAGTATTTGATTTTCCTTGGACTATTCCAAAGGTTTAGATGGTGCCATGTGTAGTAAGATGAAGGCCTAAAACATAAACCAATATAGCACAGGCCTGGTTTGAGGCCTAGCTAACAATGGACAAAACATGGCTAACATGAAGCTAAGCAGTGAGAAAGAGGCAGACCCCTGCTCACAAAACTTGGCAGAAACAGGTCTGAGTGCAAAACACTAATTGCTAATACGCCCAGGTGCAGAACAATAATTGGAACTGGTCATAAGTTGAAATCACATAGTACTCAAAAAAGACCCTGGTACTCATTCCTCACAGATACAGACCCAGGTTCAGGAAAGTGTCTAAAATGACAGCATGATGGATAGAGGTGATCTAATCATGAGGCACAGGGTGATGGGTAGTATCTAAGTAGCATCAGAGGGTGGCAGCCTGATACATCAGCAGTGAGGTGTGATTGTTTGTATCTGTATATAAAGAAGTGTGGAGGGGGAAAGGGAGACAGTCTTTGTATGACCTAGTGAGCAGTGGAAATTTTCCACTGATTGAGCTGCATTGTGGCAAGTACATATGCATAATGGTTCGTCTATTGGCAACTATTACTGTACTTCGCTTAACAGTAAACCTGGCCTGGCACCTTTGATCCTTATCTGGTTTGTGGTCTTTGGGAGTCCTCTTGGGGTCTGCTCATTGAACACACACACAAGCAGCCTTCTGGTTATCATCATCGACGAAGCCAGAGACCTGTGAGGACACCACAGCAGTAAATCCTCCTAACAACGCCATGGTTTCTGGGTTTCATTTTCTAGTGCCAGTGAAAAGTGGAAGCATTATTCAGTTTTAAATACTATGGCCAGTATTCAGAGAGAGCTGGGGGCATGCAACCCATCTAAAAATCAGGCCACCTCTTGAAGTATTAGATGATTTAGGTTCCTAAGACTAAATCCCCCAAGCTTGAACATCTCTGTTGTTGTCTGCATGAATAAAACATCACCATGAAAAAGATTAATGCAATCCTAGAATGCAGCAGGTACTATATTTCCAGAAGAAATATAGAAGTGTTACTATTGTATAATGGGATCTCCCCCCTCATCTGCAATACTGTGTGCAATTCTGATCTTCCATATTTAAGAGAGATCAATTCTTCTTTGAGAGATGTCGCTGGGGGTGCTCCACAGCAGGTGTCACCCAGCACCACAGAGTGGATTCTTCCTAGCAGTGCATTGTGGGCTGCGCACGGTACTTTCCAGCACTACTGTGCATGCGCAGCCACCCTCCCCTCAGTTCCTTCATAGCGTCTCTGGCTCAAGACAGACCTCTGCAGTGCTCTTCATTCCTCTAACGTTCTCTGTAGATAAATAGATTAGTTAACTCCAAGTTCTTCTCCGTAGTTGTTTGCCAAGTTCTTCACCAAACCCCCCACTTCCCAAACTGCCATTCATCCCCAAGTTGGTTCTCCTGCTGCTTAAGATCACCCACCTGGGTTGATGGGCTCACCGGGTTTCAAATGTTGCACAGATGGCATTGAGGCAATGCCCGTCTCAGACAGCCATGCAAAATGTATCAAGTGTTGTGCGGGCTTCCACGTTCAACGGGACTGCCCACACTGTGCTAAACTTAAGGCACAAACATGGAAAGAAAGAGATCTCCATTTAAAAATGCTCATGATTGAGAAGGGCAAACGCTCTTTCTCAGATCCGGGATCTTGGAGCAGATTGCCAACAATAAGGAGACAAACCCAAGAAATCCCCAAAGAAACATGCTGCCTCTCTGCCACAAGACCTGCAGTCACCTAAACGACGTTAGACCGGGAGCTAGGTGAGAGAAGCTGACAACAAATCATGCCTCAGCACATACGATAAGCTGGGCACATCCAGTGCTGACCAAGCTCCCCACAAAGGGTATGTCTAGACTACAGGCTTTTGTCAACAGAGGCTTTGTCAGCAGATACGACAAAGATCGTCTAGACTACATCCAGTTCTGTCTAGACTATATCAAGTTCTACATCCAGCTTTGTTGACATGAGAGTGTAGACGCAAAGGACAGTGTAGATCAGTGTTTCCTGATTTTATTTTGCCACGGAACCCTTTTCAGCTTAAAATAATTTCAAGGAACCCCTAGGGTTCCCAGAGTAAAATTTGGCAAGCAAAAAAAAAAGCCCCTCCAGAACTGGTTGAGCAAAAAAAAAGCCTGCAAAATACTCGGTCTGTTTAAGAGGGGGCGGGGCAATGCTGCGTTCTCTCGGAACCCTTACTTTCGCTTTGCGGAATCCATGGAGCACCAATTGGGAAACACTGGTGTAGATGCAATAATGCCTTCTGTTGACAGAACTCTGTCGACAAAAGGTATTATTCCTCGTAGAATGAGGTTTACCATCGTCGACAAAACTGCCAAGTTCTGTCAACGTTATATCAACAGAACTCAGTGGTAGTGTAGACGCAGGTATAGTTTTGTTGACAAAAGTCCACTATTGTCGACAAAACCCTGTAGTCTAGACACACCCAAACTCACCTCACGTGGCATCCATACGGAGGCTACAGGCCATTCAGTGCCTGCCTCACAGAACTCGGCAACAGCATAGCTCCTAAGATCATGATGCTGAGAGTGCTTACAATGGCACCACAACAGCTGATGGTGCAGCCTACCGGCATTGCCCAGCCATTGCTGACCACAGCAAATTCTCACACTGTGTGCTCTGTGCGTGGAATTTACAGGTGCCAATGCCAAGTGCAACACCATTAGCCTCGGTACCATTTATTCCTACTATTAGCTACCAGCATCGGAGACCTTGCAGTCTCAACTTTTAACTCTCTCCATTTTTAAACACCAATAAACTATCTTACTCAGCATCATCCAAATACACATTATCGCCTACTTTATCAAGTGATGATGAGCCAGGGGTTTTCTCACCCCCAGTTGGTGGCGCACACAGAAACATCAGAACATTCATCCAATGCCAACTGTGTCCACCCTACCAATGTGGACATGGACCCCTGGGTTCCATATCCATGGATACCATCACCCATACCTTGTCTACCAAAATGGCAATATTGGAGCCCATGGCCTCAACATCACACAAAGAGGCTAAGACAATGCATACTATAAAAGCACTTTCTCCCATCCCAATCCCCTCTAATACAAAGGGAACAAAATTAAATTGATGAACAGCAATCCACTGACTTAGGTCTGGATGCATTATTAGATACAAACTCACCATCTGTGACAGATGAGGCTAGCGTGCCACCGCCCTCAGCAGCCACTGAAGTCTTCACCTCTTTTCAGGAACTTTTTAAGAGAGTTGCAGCTGACCTAAACATTGCGATGGCAGAAGTGCAGGACACACAACACGAGTTAACCAACATCCTGCAGGCTATGCCTTCCTCAAAAATTGCCTTCCCTATCAACTCAGCCATCATGGAACCTGCCAAAATCCTTTGGAAAACCCCTGCCTCAATTCCTCCCACCTGCAAAAAGGCAGACCCCAAAGGGGGCGGAGTTTTTATTTACTCATTCACCACCAAACTTCTTGGTAGTCAATGTAGCTCAGCAAAAAAATAAGCAACAGAAAAACCATTCCATGCCATCCAACAGAGATAAATTAAAGACTTGACACACTTGGTAAGAGATGTATACTTCAGCTACATTACAACTAAGAGTAGCCAATTATGCTACGCTCCTCAGTAAATACGATTTTAACAATTACACAAAGTTTAATACTTTTTTTGACAATAGACCAGAGGCAAAAAAGACGCAGTTTAGAGAGGTCATTGCAGAGGGCCAGGCAATATGAAGGACAGCCCTTCAAGCTGCCCTAGATGCAACAGACCCAGCCATAAGGGCAACAGCCACAGCAGTTGTCATGAGACAGTCTTCATGGTTCAGTTCCTCTGCCTTCCCTTTAGAAATTGAGTCATCCATGGAAGATCTACCATTTGAGGGCAAAAAGCTCTTTTAATCTAAAATCAATGAAGTCCTCCATTCCATGAGAGACTCCGGGACCACACTACGCTCCTTCAGCATTCAGACACCTGCAACAAGGAGAAGGCAATATAGATACCGACCATGCCAGAGGCTGAGATATCCGCAGTTCACGTACCAAAACTAAAGGCAGGAGAACCTGCCACACCAACAACATAGTCTTGGCAGACAGCAGCATAGACTCAATCAGGGAATGCTACCAATCGTCCACCTCAACCCAATAAGCAAATTTGAGGCATCCGCTGAAAAACTGAAAACCATCTTACTTTCTCCAGAACTCCCAAACACTAGGAAACCTTTCACCTATCGTTTTTTGCCATTCTATGACAAATGGCACAACATTACATCTGACAAATTGGTGCTACAGACAATTTCATTTGGATATACCATCACATTCCTATCCTGTTCCTGGACCCCTCTCATGAGGCTATATTACAGGAAGTAGATCACCTTCTACAATTGGATGCTATAGAATCTGTTCCCCCAGAATTTCAGAGGACTGGGTTTTATTCTCATTACTTCCTCACTCAGAAAAAAACTGGAGGTTGGTGCCCAATTCTTGATTTGAGGGCTCTGAACAAATTCGTGAAGAGGCAAAAGTTCAAAATGGTCACATTATCCCCTATTTGGAGTTCAGTGATTGGTTTTCATCTCCCGATGTACAAGAATCA